ACTACCAGTGATTCTTATTTGTTTCCAACTTTTGCATTGCAATAAGTTAAACTTCTACAACAGGCAAATTCCCTTGCTTCCAGCCTGACTCCTCACCTGTATCTTCTGCATTATCTAGTACCTAGTGCCAAGCCTTTTGAGGGTTCTTGGTTCAGCATCACACTTTCCAACTTTTGTTTTCCCAGTCTACTAAGGTCCTGCTTATACAACTAAGGAAAGCAATTCCAACCTCTACTTCTTCCATGATCCCCTAATCTGTCCAAGTAATTATTTCAGAGAATCTTTCTCTCCACTGACTTTGTCTTTAGGGAAAATAAATCATTATCTTTTTTTCCACGGGGAAGAGAGAAAAAGACTCTTATCACAAATACTGGACACAAATGATAGTGACTCCTGTTCCCTTTCCTTCTTCTTAGTGACCTCCTGATAAAGATATGTTGTGGGATGATTATGAAATGTTGGAGGAGTGTTGATGATTGGAGAAGGGCTGGTTCTCCTGCTTATTTAACTTTGGGGTCAAGAGTCTGGATCCATTTATTGGTGGCTGTTTGGGGGCTCTCTTTAGAAAGTTGGGAGTATTTAGCACTTCTAGCCATCAACTTTGGATCTTGCCTACAATTCTAGGACAAGAGGCAAAAATTACACCAAAAAAATGCGTAATGTTCCATTGTAAGGATGTATCCAATTAATTGTACTTAATCAAATTCTCTATCATTTGGTATTAGACTCTTTTAAAATTTCTTGATGTTATAAATAGTGTCACAATGAACATCCTTGTAGAGGTTAACATTTACTATTTCAGTATGCAAAATTCCAATGAGTAGAATGGTTGGAAGATATGATGTGCATTTTTAAGACTTTTATATATATTATCTGATTGCCCTGAAGTCTTGTGCCAGTTTATACTCTTCCTAAACAGTACATAGAAGAGTATTCTTATATTTTTTACACCTGCGCATGATTGGGGTATTGTTATGTTGTTGTTAGGTGCCAACAGTTGGCTCCAACTCACAGTGACCCTGTGTATAATAGAACGAAACACTGCCCAGTCCTGTGCTATCCTCACAGTCCTTGCTTTGCTTGAGCACATCATTGCAGCCACTGTGTCAATCCATCTTGTTGAGGGTCTTTTTCACTGACCCTCTGCTTTACTAAGCAGTCCTTCTCCAGCGACTGGTCCCTTTTGACAACATGACCAAAGTATGTGAGATGAAGTCTGGCCATTCTCACATCTAAGGAGTATGGCTACACTTCTTCCAGGGCAGATTTGTTTATTCTTTTGGCGGTCCATGGTATTTTCAATATTCTTTGCCAGCACCACAATTCAAATGCATCAATTCTTCTTTGGTCTTCTTTATTCATTGTCCAGCTTTCACATGTGTATGAGGCAATTGAAGTATTTATCTTTTTCTTTATCCACTTCTGGTTTGGATAGAAGAATGACATGTCATAATTTTACTTTGCATTTGTTATTACTAATGAGAATGAATAACTACATATTTCTTGCCCATGAGCTTGTTTTATACAATTTACCTATTTATATATTTTGCCATTTTTTAAATTGGAATGTTAAGCTTTTTTATTTGTAGTTTATTATACATTGAACATCTTAATTATAGCCATAAATGCCATGTTTCCCTGTTTGATGTGGCCTGTTGGTGAGAATATGGAAAACACCACGGACTGCCAGGAAAACAAGAAGTACATATCGAAGGCTGTAGTCTTTGATCTTCATCAGTAAGTGCTTCAAGTCATCTTTACTTTTCAGCATATTGCAGGCTGTTAATGAGTCTACCTCCAATCCTGATGCCCCATTCTTTTTAATATACAGCTTCTTGGATTATTTGTTCAGCAAACAGATTGAATATGTATGCTGAAAGGATGTAATCTTGACACACACCTTTCCTGATTTTAAACCATGCAGTATTCCCTTCCTCTATTTGAATGGCTGTCTCTTGGTCTATTTACAGGTTCCTCATGAGCACAATTAATTGTTCTGGAATTCTCACTCTTCACAGGGTTATTCATAATTTGTTATGATCCACATAGTTGAATGCCTTTGCATAGTCAATGAAACACAGATTAACATCTGTCTAGTATTCTTTGCTTCAGCCAAGATCCATCTGATATTCACAATGATATTTCTCATTCCACATCCTCTTCTGAATCTGGCTTAAATTTCTGAGGCTTCCTTGTTGATGTACTGCTGCAGCTGTTTTAATATCTTCAGCAAAATTTTACTTGCTTGTGATATTAATTCTGTTGGATCACCTTTCTTTTGAATGGGCACAAATATGAATCTCTACCTGTGGGTTGGCCACATACCTGCTCTCCAACGTTTTTTGCATAAATGAGTGAACACTTCTAGCACTGCATCTGTGTGTTGAAACATCTCAGTGCGTATTCTGTCAGTTCCTGGAGGCTTGTTTTTTTGCCAATTCCTTCAGTACAGCTTGGACTTCTTCCTTCAATACCATTGGTTCTTTATCATATACTATCTCCTGAAGTGGTTCTAATAAGAATTCTTATTAGATACTATTAAAATAATTTTGTAATTTCACATATGGTAAAATCACATATAATAATTACACAGATGACCTAGAAGTCACTAACCTTTAGTCACTCCACATTTTACTAATCTAATCATTACTCTGGTAGCATAGTGGCTAAAGCACTTGACTGCTAACCAGAAGGCTGGTGGTTCAAACCCACCAGCCACTCCTCAGAAGGAAGGTTGGGCAATCCTACTTCCGTAGTGATACTACCTCAGAAACCCAAGGAAGGGTCGCTATGAGTCGGGGCCAACTCGACGGCACATAACAACAATAACAACAACAACAATCATTACTGAGGAAGGTTGTAAGAAATTATTTATTCACCAGCTATGCTTCTGGAAACTCTCTTGTATCTTGGTTATATTTCACAATTTACTTCTCCCTCTTTATTGGTAACATGCCAATCCTGGTGAAAAGTTGGCTTTTCAAAGCCACCAGTCTTTGTGTCTGGTCTTGCCTTCACCCTTCTGTGTCCCTTAATAAGCCACTCACTTCTCCAACAGTTGTACTTGTGTAAGTTGCCACTCCATGGTGGGGATGCTTCCAAATGAATTCTCAAGAATGATGTTGGGAAAGCCATCTAAATATACGTGGATTTTACATGGTTATTGATATTTACAATGTCTGTATGACTTTTGAATACCTTTTAAAAATTTTTTGTCTTTTGTCTTAATCACTTATATTTTAATCAACCTTTCTCTAGTATCATTTTATTATTTTAATATTGCTCTTAATTCAAATATCCTACAGGGTATTATGTAAGTCAAATAAGATCTTCCATGTAAAATTAACCATTTAAAATGATGTTTTTAAGATCCTTTTAAGTATAGTTTGGACTTGGAATGTGACAATTCCAAACCCTTCATAATAACTATGTGCTTTGTTGCATTTTAAAGGTATTTATTTATTCTGGAACATTTGCAGAATTCAGTTCTCATGTGTTAAATGTCTGCCACCTGATAATTAACTCAAGGAAGAAATTAATTTTGGCTTAGTTTAAGCTTAATCTAAAGAAAAATCTGCCATATTAATTTTTAATAAAAGTTTATTAAGATGGATGTCCAGAGCTCAGTTTAATTGCTTCCACACCTACACAGTAATAATTTGTGTGGCAAAATTAAGCATATTGGCAGGTCATTCTGTATAAATTTAGATGTAGAGTTAAAGTAAATTTACATTTTCACTTGAAATTTTTTATTTAACAGCATTTATTTCTTCTGCTAGTTATTTTATTTTATTGACTGTGCTAATTTATCAACCCCTTCTTTTAAAAAAAAATGTGAGAGGAAAAGAGGCCACAGCATCATCACATTTATATACTGGGTTCCCTAAACCATATGGTGATTTCTAATTAGAATACAAAAGATTCTGTGATGAGACTAACTTCATAAGGGCTGTGATGTTGGGCAGCACAGGGGAGAGTTTTCTTGAATTTTCAACAAGGACACTTTTGAGAAAAGCTGTGTGGTCTATACTTGTCCTTATAGTAGAAGTCTGATAAAGTTATTGATGTGCAGATGAAGTTGGTATTTCGAACCTGTAATTTAATTTTGGATGTTTGATCCTCCCAGTCAGTGACTTGAGTTGATTTTTTTTTTTTTAAGCAGCTTCAATATTTAATTTCACATGTACCCTCTCAGTAGAGATTTCAAAGGATACTTTGCTGGATGCTTGACTGCCTTGTCTATTTGCTCTTGTTTTGCATGCAAGAGAGAGCCAGAAGCCTTTCTTCTCATTGTGTACACATAGTATTAATGGATTTACTCTGCCTGTATCGTCTCATTACTGGAAACAGCTAGAAGCACAGAAGTCTTTCAGTGTATGCAAATAAGTCAGAATCATCTACCTGAGAGTTAATATTCTCTGCTTTTAAGTGTATTCTAAATCTAATGTTTGTATTTAGAGCATAACATCCTGTTCTCCTTTTATTTATTTATTTTTTATGGGCAAAAAGCTAAGCAGGCTCAGGCAGCTGTTTGATGTTGGCTTCAAGTGTTATTAATTTCATATTCTATTATTCTTTTCACTGTAGCACAAGTGAAGCTGATGTGGAGGCTGTCATGGATAAGTTGTTTGATGAGCTGGCTCAGAAACAAAATGATTGTACGTAAGTTAATTTCTCTTGAAAGAGAATACATTTAGAACACAATGCCCAATCTCCACTGACCAATTAATAAGTTCCATTGCTGTATATGGGTTGATGCCACACTCAAGTGGCAGTCATTGTATCAGCATTTTGTCTAATTTATGTGTTGAATCATGTGCTATTATTCATCAAGCTATGCATTTCCTATCTGTAAGAGATGAATTTTATAGTAATTATCCAGACAAGATTGAGTCTTTGTTCATGTTCCCATAGTAACTAGACCAAGGATTCTAAAAGTGCAAGGCAGAGAGCTGCGGCTGAATAAAGCCTGTGGAACCGTTGCCGACTGCACATTTGAAGAGCTGTGTGAGAGAGTAAGTATCCAGGCACGTCCGGACTCATTGGCCTTTTCACATGTTAAAATACTTCCTTCTCCCTGCCTGTTTCAGATTTTAAAATACTATCCACAGAGTCAGAACTGATTTAAAAGTCTCATTAAGAAAAATACTCATCTGTGTATGCCTCGTGCTTTTTATAGATATGGGCACAACATTTGCACTTAGGGGGCTCTAAAGCAAAATTAGAAAAAGAGAACTCAACTGTTGCTGGAAGCAAAAATAAAATCCATTTTAGGGATATTTTGTGAAAGTCAAGCATAAAGGATTTTTTTAAAAAAAGATATGAGGTGAGCTTAGTTTGTGGGAAAAGGAAGATGATGTAATGCTACCATGATCCAAGGAATTGTAACATAGAGTTTCTGGTCCTCATTTACACTGCCTATTTGCTATTGCCACATATCTGACCTATTGGAGCCAGGGTCAAAGAAAGTAAATTCCATTTAATTGTGACTTCTGTATTATATAATGTAGGAGCTCTGGTGGCATAGTGCCTAAGGCATTTAACTGCTAACTAGAAGGCTGGTGGTTCAAACCCACCAGCCACTCCTCATAAGGAAGACTGGGCAATCTCCTTCTGTAGAGATACTGCCTTGGAAACCCAATGAGGGTTTGCTATGAGTTGAAATCGACTTTACGACAGTGAGTTTGGTTTGGTTTGGTATTATATAATAAATAATATACTCGGTAGAGAAAAAAAATGTATATACATCCACATTCATGTGAGAAAGACCTTGATTGCAGATTCTTTATAGACATGAATTCTGTCTTATAAAAGACACACAACTGTAAGCATAGTTCCTTGATTTCCGTGTATAAATTGCCATTCTATCTGGTCCCTAATTTATCTTAACTTTTAGGTAACTAAAGAAGAATTGTTTTTAGTACGGAAGAAGAGAAAGGCTTTATTTTTTCCTGCCAGCCATTTTATTTTATAAGTACTTTCCTTAAAAGCTAGTGATTTAGTTACTTCCAACCAGTACAGATTTGTAAGTAAGAGAGATAAGTCTAATCTGCAGTTGTTATTATAGAAATTAAGTGTTTCAGAACCAATAGGTATCTGTTTTTAGGATCCTCTGATAGGATAGTAGGGACATTCTCTGTTAGTCACAGTCATTGTTGGTAATATGTGCCTGCATTGATTGCATTAACACACTAAAAAACTGATAACTCCAGAAAAGTTTTATTAAGGCTTCTGTTCAGCTATTTGCAAACCACTTTGTCAGAGAAATAAACTTGAGAAAACTTGTATGTATTCAAAAGATGAGGCCCCTGCACCTCCATAGAAGGGAGCCACTGAGGAAAGAGAAAGGGCAGGCCTGTTCAATCTGGGGTTAATGAGGCAAAGATTTTCTCTTGGAGTAGATACTGAGTATCTATCTATATTTTTTATATACGTATTATTTGAGGAAATTTAGTACTAGAGAAGGGCCACTTTTTAGCAAC